GTGAAGCAGTTATCAGCAGTAACATTTCGTCCTGCCTGATAAATAGGTTGACAAAGTCGCAGAACAATATCATACAGTGAATTGTTCAATCGAAATGGGCCTTTAGGTTGTAATCATGCATACATTTCCAAATTATGTAGATACTAAACCTGGGAATTCATACGTGCGTAGATTTTCACACCATATTTATTAGGTTTATTCGGTATGTATTGCACAAAACCGTATCGTTCACGAAAGCCTTCCAGTTTCTCATCAATCCTAACGTTATATCCTAAACAATAGGAGTTCTGCGAATTGTACCCTAACATTGAACCCTAATTGAATTCCCTAACATTGTAAAACTATTACCAATTGCTGCAATTTTGTCGGTTTTTTATTTCATTTCTTGTAGTGAGATCATTAAATCTCATACAACGTATAATGAATGATTATGAAGGTTATGATAACCAAAAAATTTTATATTGTGACTACGTACATGTTTTTGTAATTATTTTAACATAATTTTATTTAAATGTTTATGTATATGTGCTTTAAAGTGTTTTAAATATGTATGTTAAAGAACGTTTTTTAAAATTTTTGGATAGTTTTCGCCATTGTTTGTAGGGGTCAAATGAGTTGCCAATTTCATTTGATAAACATCAAGACAACTAACCTCAATTAGTCACCTTGATGATGCAAATAAAGATTTGCGAAAGCTTGGTGTTTAGGACTAAACTTGAGAGGTCGCTGGTTAAATTATATCAGATAAATAATTATAACGAAAAATGCAATATTTCTTTATACATAAAATTAGCGACAATAGCAACTATAAATTGTGAATAAGTTATGAAATCAACTGGTTTTCTTATTATTATTGTTTTGTACAAAGAACAGACTTACCCTTTGAAGATATTGATGCCGTCTTAACAGGAATGAGAAGTTGGTCGTGATACCGACGCTAGCGTCGCCGCCGAGGCTCAGCACGAGAACCGTCCGAAAAAAATGTCCGTGTCGATCGTTGTCTTATGAAGAAGTGGCAATGCTTTGAGATGGTTAAAGCTAAGTAACCCTCTGAGCGGTGGTCCGAGAGGGTGTAACAATAAATCATTCCATTGTATTGCGACCTTTCCGATAATTTTAGCTAATTGTGACGGTAACACGAAACTTTACATTTGTGTGTATATTTTTGAACCATACAAAAGAGAAGTCAAATTCTCCGTATTCACAACATCATAAATGAGATATCCAGTTTAAGTTTTATGAGACAACAGGAAACAATATATTTCAAAAAGGTCTTTTAAAATACAGCACCAAATTAGATCACATTACAGTACCGTAACAGACAAAATATTAACTGTAAAATTATGCAATGAATTGGGCACATACTTTCCCAAACACTTTGTAAACTAAAAACAGTACTTCTTTGTCCTATCTTCCGCTGCACACCTAAATATTTGAGTTTTGTATTCTATTGGATCAGCATTGATTACAAGCGTTTATGGCTTTTCGAGTGTACTATATATATATATATATATATATATATATATATATATATATATATATATATATATATATATATATATATATAAATATATTATATATATACATATAAATATATATATATATATATATATATATAATATATTCAGGGATTTTACAGTATTCACTGCCGTCCCTCGCTCAACCGTTTCCATCTTTCTCTGTTGTCCCATTCTCCATCGTTTAGGCCTCTCTTACTTATGGCGTCGTCTACTTCGTTCCTCCAGGATCTTCGGGGTCGTCCTCTTTTCCTCCTTCCTATGGGGCTCCATTCGTTATTCTCTTTATCCATCTGCTGTCGCTAGTTCTTCTTACATGCTCATTCCACTTTAGCCTTTTTTGTTCTATATATGTTAGTATGTCTGTTTCTATTGATGTTCTTTGCTTTATTTCGTCATTATTTCTCCTATATATTCTTCTTACTCTGCAGCATCTTCGCAGGTATTCCATCTTTATTGCTACTATCTTACTGCTGTTTTTTTTGTTTATAATTCAATTTTCAGCCCCATACGTCATAACACTTCGTACTAATGTTTTATAAGTCTGTGTTTTTGTCATCATATTTAGGTGTCTATTCCACCATACTGAGTTAAGTTGTCGGATTGCTGTTCTTGTTTGTCCTAATCTTTGCGGAATTTCTTCCTCTGTTGTTGCCTTTTTCGTAATTATAAACCCCAAGTATTTAAATTTATTCTTTCCTTTGATTGTTACTCTGTTTTCGCGAGGTTCTTGGTCTCGTGCAATCACTACTTGATCGTCTACAAAACTTAGCGTATATAGTTATTTGTTCCGTACGGGTACTCCCATGCCTTCGCATTTTCTTTTCCATGTAGTCAAGGCTTTCTCTAAGTATATTTTGAATAGGGTTGGAGATGTGGAACAACCCTGCAGAAACCCTTTTGTTGTGGTGAAGTCTCCTATGACTCTTGTTCCCACTTCAATGGACACTTTATAAATTTGGTAACTTAAAAAAAATCTCCAACCAGGCGCAGCGAATCTGTTTGATGTTTATAAAGTAAATGTAAGTATATTTATGTAATTTTAAATATGTAAAGAAAAGGTAGTAGCAGTATAAAAATATAGTACTTACCAAACTAATAAATGTCACAAATTAACAAAATTAATTTTGTTTCAGTAATGGACGCGGTATATCAAAATGAACAATATTCAAATATTTTCGTTGTAGTAAAGAATATTTACTAATGGCCGATTACGTTCTATAAAATAGAGGTAGGAGGCTACTGGTGACAATTTGTGACTCTTTACGAGATACATCTTCTTCTTAAAGTGCCCTCTCCTCAATGGAGGTTGGCTACTACAATTTAAAACTCTTCTCTATCTTGAGCTGTTCGTATTAGCTGTTCAAAATTTAGCCCTGTCCATTGTCGGATGATTCTGAGCCACGATAGTCTTTTCCTTCCTAGGCCTCTCTACCCCTCGATTTTTCCTTTCACTATAAGTTGGGCATATTGATACTTATTATTTCTCAGTATGTGGCCTAGGTATGATGTTTTTCTAACTTTTACTGTGTTAAAAAGTTCTCTTTCCTTGCCTATTCTGTGCAGCACTTCTTCGTTTGAGGTATGCGATGTCCATGAAATTTTGAGTATTCTCCGGTAGATCCACATTTCAAAGGCCTCCAATTTATTTACGGTTGATGTTTTAAGGGTCCACGTTTCAACTGCATATAGAAGAGTCGACCAGACATAGCATTTTGATAAACCTAGTCGAATTTCGAGTTTTATTCGAGAATCACAAAGCAGTTTTTTTTATTTTTTTAAAAGATTTTCTGGCCTGTTCTATTATCGATCTTATTTCTAGATCAGGATTTAGGCTGCTATCGATCCAACATCCCAGGTACTTAAATCTATTGACCTGTTCGAAAATGTGCCCATTTATTGTGCAAGGTTGAAGTACGTTTTGGTTTTTTCGGATTGACATCACTTTGATTTTTTTAATGTTTATTGTCATACCAAATTGCTCACAGGTCGAGTGGGTCTTGTCGATGAGTCGTTGTAGACCTAAGTCGTAATCCGCAATTAATACTGTATCATCGGCGTATCTGATACTGTTGATATTTACGCCATTCACATTGACTCCATCCTTGGAATCCTCCAATGCTTCTTTAAATAGTAACTCGGAGTAAAGATTAAACAGCAGAGGCGACAGAACACATCCTTGTCTAACTCCCCTCCTAATTTCTACTTCTGCGGATGTGGAACCTTCGATCGTAACTCTGGCGTTTTGGTTCCAGTACAAGTTTTTTAAGAATTTGATGTCTTTTCCATCTAAACCGACTTCTTGCACACGTTCTAATAGTAGGTCGTGTCTTACTCTATCAAATGCTTTTTCGAAGCCTATAAATCATATAAATATATCTTTCTGTTGGTCGTAGCATTTTTGGGCGAGAACTAGTAAACTGAACAGGGCTTCTCTCGTTCCCATGCCGGCTCTGAATCCAAACTGATCGTCTCCGATGATTGTTTCGCACTTTCTATAGATACGATTATGTACCATTTTTAGTAGGACTTTTACTGCATGACTCATAAGACTTATCAGACGGAAATCATTGCAGTGTTGTGGGTTTCGCTTTTTTTGGTAGTGGAATGAATATTGACTCCAGCCAATCTTGGGGTATTTAACCTCATCATAAATGCGATTGCATAAAAGGACAAATATTTCGATATTTTCTTCGCTGATTAATTTTTAACGAGATACATATACTGGTACAAAACATTTGTGTTATATCAATTTGAACAGCCACGCCCGACGGAAGGTTATAAAGGACGGGGACGATTCCTTAAACTATACTCTTTCTAGATTTCGAGTCGTTCGGACAACCTAAAAATTTTACAAAACGAAACAATTATTATAATAAGTTATCCAAAATATACATATCCTACCATACATGTGTAATTACTACTATGATATCAGCTACATTTTTGTACGTACCAGAATGTGAAAGGGAAAATATGGAAAAAGGTTTAAATGAAGTTTGTGGTTTACCAGCTCCAACATGGTTGCCATTCGAGTTTGATTATTTTCCTGTAAAACAGCTTGTCTATTTATATCAGGTAATAACAAGTAATATATTTATTTTTAATATTAATCATGTTGGCTTTTAGATGACAAATCTTACACAAAAATAAAAGCAAATATTCTCATGTTTGCATTACTTTCTCATGTTGCACAGTATTAAAACACAATTTTAAAAAACCCAAAGATATCATAAAGCAATTGGTCGGCTTAATCCGCAAAATGCGTAACTCCGCATACTGGTAAAAATTTTAATTTGGTGTCATCTATGCACATAATTGGAGCGGATCCGATAACATAGTCGGCGACTCCACTATTAATTTTCCTTATTTATTATCTACACAACACAAAACGTTGTAAGTCCAGCCCCACCAATTTCGCGATAGCAGAATACGTAACTCCAGTAGTTCCCTTGTTGTTGTAACCACTGCACATGTGCTCCTAAATTTTAAGTAAATAGTGCAGTAATTTAAGTGATTACATTCGTAAAAACACTGATACTGAGTAAGTAATATTTTAAGCTATAATATAGATTCATTTCAATGTTATATTTATTGCCAAATATTGCGTAAATTTGACGTATTTAGAGTAATTGGAGATAGGCAATTTTAGTAAAATATAGTTTAGTGAAAATAGTTTAAATAGAGTAAAGTGAAAGCCTTATCAAGGAAATAAAAAAGAAAATGTAAAATGGAGGTATAACGTATTAAATGAACCAAAATCCATAAGAGAAAGTTGCAATTGTAAGTTATGTAAAAATCCGTCCTAATGTACACTAAAATAAGTGAACCTGAGAGAAAAAGAATTTTCAAAGAGTTTTTGCAATATACTTAAGCCGAAAAGAAGATGTTCATAAGAAACCATGTATCTGTAAAATGTACCTCTAGAAAACGAACCTAAATAAAGTTTCGAGAAGAACATATTCAAACGAATTATTCTTAGGTTCCTTTAGGCTAAGAATTTGTAAAACAATGTTTTTAAACACCCTTGGTGTGAAGGATTGTGTCATTAAGAAATGGGCCAAGATCGGACTAGAGGCAAATGTGACTGTTTAAACTCAAAATTCTGGTAATATTAATAATGGTGTGAAACAGCTTCAAATATTCTTTGATTCCCTACCAAAGAATGAATCGCACTATTGTAGAGCTACTTCGTCAAAACTTTTCCTAGAACTAGAGATGGCGGTTTTTGAAAAAACACCGGTTTTTGGTTATACCGCCGGTTTTTTTAATCCAATAGGTTACAAAGTTACATTTACAATGCACTTTAGTTTGCGATACTTCTTTATAAAATAAAATAAAAATTGAAGTTTTGTTTGGAATAATTACTTGAGGATAATAATTATGATTGGGATCCACAATAATACAATAATACTAATCACCGTAAAAACCTAATAACCGGTGTTTACTTTACAAATAAAAAACCGGTTATAACTAGGCCAAAAAACAACCGATAAAACCGGTTATTGTGTAGTAAAAAAACCAGTTTTCGGTTAAAATCGGTAGGTTTTTCCCATCTTTACCAGGAACCTATGTGGACTAGTAAAAGCCAACTGTAGAAGGTCGACAAACCCGATTTTTGCATAAATCAAAATGAAAAAGCGGCATTAATAGCTATTTTTCACAGTATTTGAAAAGAATACACTTTTTTTGTATAGTCCAAAAAAAGATCTGTGCGATACCTGTGTATCCTTTCAAACAGGGAATATTTTAGAAGATCTCTGCAATGAGCATGGCTAATATAAAAAAGAAGCAAAAGTCGAAAAAGATAATGATAAAGAGTCCCATAATGAAGTGTTTACTATGGATCTTCAATCAGTTTTGCTTTGTCCTAAATCAAATGTATCCAGTCTCTATTATAACACCAAACTAATTGTGCATAACTTCACAATTTATATTATTAAACCCCAAAAAGGCTTCTGTTACCTGTAGAATAAATCGGAAGCAGAGCTCAGAAGTTATGAGTTTATGAGTATTATTGTTCATTTCCTAGACCAGCAGGTACACCATAACTTGAAAGAAAAAAGACCTGAGGACACTGAAATCATATTATGGAATGATGGTTGTGGGTGCCAAAACCGTAACTCAACGTTATCAAATGGTTTATTAAACTTTGTCTTAGATATGGTTAACGGTAACTCAAAACTATTTACAAAAAGGTCACAGCCAGATGGAGGTGAACACTGTTCACTCCATCATTAAGAGGCAAATTCGAAATAAAAAAATTCCAGCAGAATATATATCCATATGTAAAACTGCTGGTCATAAAAGTCCTTATAATGTCGAATATCTAACGCAAGATTTCTTTAAAAAATATTATCACCTCTACTTCGTTAAATCGATAAAACCAGACAAATCTGTTGTCGGTGAACCTACTGTAAACGATATTAAAGCTTTAAAATACTTCAAGGATGATATGTTTTTTTAAGATTGGTCACACCGAAAATTGGCAAACCTTACCGGTATGGCTAAATATAAGTAATATTATGCCTATTAGTCTTATCGTTGTATCCCAACTACATTCAAATAGACTTAAAATTAAAAACGAAAAGTTTCAGCACCTCCAGCAATTAAAATTATCCATGGAACGTGATTATCACGATTTTTATGACAAGCTACCCCACGAAACTACTTTTACTTAATTTTCTACTTACTTTTGTATTAAAATAAACCTATTTAACTGAGAATAAGCCACAATTAAAGATAAAAATACGTTTATTTATAAAATAGCTTCAGAACAAAATAAACCTGTTTATGTAAGAGTTATTATTAGTTTTAATACTTTCAAAAAAGACGTATCTCCAAATTATAGACAAATTTTACTAAGAAAAATACCTAACTCCTTTATTTTGTTTTTAATGACTTATAATTAAAATTCAAAGTGCATTCCCCCGCTCTACATTATTTTTGGTAAGTATACAAGATTCATTTATTTTTTAATATTTTTCTTGTACTCAAAAGAAAACAGTTTTTATGGTTTCCTGAAAAGTTTTATCGATAGGAGTTACGCAGTTTGCGAATTAAGCCGACGAATTTATGTATCATACCAATTTATAAATATTCATGTTGATGTACTCGTATATTTTGTATTCACAAAAATAAAAAGCAATATGTTATTTTCAGGGTTATTCTATTTTCTCCGTTTACCAATCAGCTGGTTTTATTTCATTCTGTATGATGGAGACATTAGAACACTTGGTACTTCGATTTGAACATGTAGGAGATACTTTCGTCGAAGCTTTTAGCGAAAGTAATAAAACAATCCGAAGACAAAAGTTTTTTAATGCAGTCAGATATCACCAAGCAGTTATTGGGTATTATTTTTTTACAGAAATATTTTTTATATGCCTATTTACTTTCAAAAGAATCCCAATACCCACAAATACTCAACCCTTATAAAATTATCTTTTATCGTGTATGAAAGTACTACTTAACCCTTATCCGGAAAAGGTGTGTCCATTGGACACACTTATAGATATGCTACTGTATATTTCGAAAAGCACAGTATATTATTACCTCAAAAATTAGGACTTTGTCTACTTTAAAGTAAACTTATTGGAGACAACAACTCAATGTTTTGAACTAATCAAAATTAACTATAAAAAAATAAAATTAATTTTAATAACGTAACCGAAAAGTGTGTGTCCGCCGGACACAATTTGCTATTGGATGCGGCTACGTCACTGGTCATCAATATTTATCGACTATCGGTCACGTGAAGTATCAAACAAGCTCTGATTTGTCTGACTAGTCATTCAGTTGCATTTTTGCTAGCCTAGAGTGCAGTTTACTTTGTTATTTTTCATATTTTCGTAGTCCTATAGTTTCGGGTAAGTTTTTCAATTTATTTTACTGGTGTTTATTTCTTACGTAGAAATATCTTCACGTTATAGTTTTCACACATCTACTAAACTATATATAAAATAGTAATATGCCCAAAAAAAGTTAACAGTAACGGAGCTTGAAAATATAATTGAGAACTTGTCTGATTTCGATAAAGACGAACATTGCGTAGTGGATTTAGACGACGAATCCGAATCATATGATGATTTTTTGCCGAAAGCTAGTGAAGAGGGCGATGAACAAATATCGGAGGAAAATCCATGTAAGTATAAAATAAAACGTAGATATCGACTAGAATAATTTATAATAAAATTTCAGCTGTTAAAGAACACATCACAAACAGTCAACCAGAAATGTATGTTGCAAAAGATAAAACTGAGTGGTTATCACAACCTTTTCCGACTGGATGAACACGAATTCAGAATATGGTAAAAGGACCATTACACAGAGTTCAACTTCCACCTGGAACACTCATTGAAAAACCAATAGATACATTTCGCTTATATTTGACTGAAAATATTGTGGATGATATTGTCCGTTACACCAATCTAGAGGCTCATCGTGTATTACAAAATAAACCATATGGAAGTCCTGTGATATAATTACAATATATACTTACTTTGTGAGATCCACTATGAAATCAACCAGATCCCTTATGGCGAACTTTGCAGGAGAAGCAACTGCCACAAATGCTACAACTCAGTCAACACAGAAAAGAGGATGTTACTTATGTTCATAAAAAAAATTAAGAACATAAAAACAAGCGTGTAATAGTTGCAGTAAGAACGTTTGTAACGAACACAGCAGTGTAAAACGTGAGTCTAGTAGTTGCCTAATAAAGTAATAAATAAATGTCATATATATTGTAGATACTTTAGAATTATTGTAGGTTAAGATATGCATTGTTTTTTAAATTTTTATAAAGCAAGCACTCAATAATTATTACTTTATTAGTTAAAAATAAATATTCAAAATATTTGATACACATTTTATTAATTATAACATAAAATGCCGTAGTATTGTTGTCGTGTGTCCGATGGACACACTCTGTCCTACTACGTCAGAAAAAATAAGTGTCCGGATAAGGGTTAAGAAACTTTGAGAAATACCGATAAATGTTCAGTGTTCTCAAAGTTGTAAGGCGATTACGCTGGGAACATATGAATTTACATAGTTACTGATGAAATTTCAAGCATAGCTCTAAAATATCTGCCAGCGAAAGCAATTGTATTTTTAACAAACATCACAAATGCGATACTCAGATACAGGATCCTCCCAAACCGATGGAAGGAAGTGTACGTTATTATAATCCTAAAGCCAAAAAAAACAACACGTTTTTGCAAAACTACAGGCCGGTAAGCTTACTTTTCTCTCTCTCTTCAATCCTGACCCCCAGGGGGAGTGTAGTGGTCGACGTGATATCGTGTATTGTCCGTCTCCAGAGATCTCTGTCTCTGGTTATTTCTTTTCATTCATGCATAGGTCTTTGGCATATTCCTGTAATTTGATCTATCCATCTTGTTGGGGATCTTCCTCGTGATCTTCGGCCTTCTACCTTTCCTTGTATTATAAGTCTTTTCATGTTTTCTGTGTTTGCTCTCATAACATGCCCAAAATATTTTAATTGTTGGAGATGGACTTTACTAGAGAGTCGTTGGCTAACTTTTAGCTCTCTTAAAATTGAATTATTTGTTCTACGGTCGGTCCACGGAATTCCTAACATTCGTCTCCAACAGAACATTTCAGTGGCGTCTATCTTTCTTCTCTCCGATTGTCTCAGAGTCCAAGATTCACATCCGTAGGTCAGTATTGGGAATATTAAGCAGTTGATCAACCTCATCGTTATAACTCTTGAAATTTGACAGTCCTTACATATTTTGGTCATTTTTGCTGTGGCAACTTTTGCTATATCACATCTACGTTTAATCTCTTCTTGTAATGACCCTATGTTTGTGATTAATGATCCCAGATATAAGTATGAGCTTAAAACCTCGAACCGGTCAATTGTGGTTATATGTGGATGATTGTTGTGTAGTCTATCCACTATCATGATCTTTGTCTTTGATACGTTTAATTGCAGACCAAATATTTGACTTTCGTTTTCGATCAGTCGTATAAGTTCTATCAGCTCTGCTTGACTATTTGCAAGAAGAGCTGTGTCATCTGCGAAACGTAGGTTGTTTAGTTTATGACCATTTATTGAGATGCCCTTTTCCCATCCTTCAAGTGCTCTTCGCATAATATACTCCCCATATATGTTGAATAATTGTGGAGATAGTATACATCCTTGTCAGCAAAATTATCGAAAGAGTCATACTAAGCAGACTTGAATCAGAAACAGACAGGTTAGGAACAGTCCCAGAAGTTTAGTTTGGATTCCGAGCAGAACACTCCAGCGAACTACAAGTACTCAGACTAACAGTACATTACATATGGATTCAACGAGAACCAGTATACAGATTCAGCCTTTTTGGACGTAAGCAAAGCCTTCGACAAAATCTGGCATAAAGGACTGACTTACAAAATGAGAAGCTGTTGATACAGAGGAGCCATGACAGGACTAATATCATCATACTTGGGCGGCCGGAGGTTTAGGGTTCGAATAGGACAAGTAATGTCAGAACACGGAGCTCAGTGGGCCGAATTGCTACACGGGCGGTCCTGTCACCTCTACTGTATACAATATACACCGCCGATGTTCCAAAAACATCAAAAACATACTCAGTCTTTATGCTGATGACACAGCAATCGCGACCAAATACAGAAATATAGATGAAGCTGTAAACATTTTACAGACAGCACTGAATAATATAGAAGAATAGATCCAATGTAAAATAGCCATCAACTCAGAAAAAATTCAAGCAGTCATGTTTAAAAAGAGTAGAGAAACCCAGACGAACAGCTTACAGTACAAAACATTCCCGTCAAATGAAAAAGATAAGCAAAATACCGAGGAGTCACAATGGATCAAAAACTAATCTTCACGCAACATGTGCAACAAACCATCCAAAAAACAACCACAGCTAGAGCAACAATAAGCATGATGAGCATATGTAGAAACAGCAAATTAAGACTAAAACCGAAAACAAGCCTGATTAACAGCATCATACTTTTAATAATAACATATGCATCTCTCGCATGGAGACACATAGGTAAATCAAACAAAACGAGGATACAATAATAATAACAGCCTCAGAGAAGCGCTAAATATACCCCGATACGTTTCTGAACGTTTCCTGTTTAGAGAACTGAGACAAATAAGGGTGACAGATACGATGGAAGAAAAAGCCAAAGTTTTCTGAGCTAGAAAATCACTTAAGCCCGATACTGCGAGAGATAATAAAGTATGATGCGTTCCATCGATGGAAGCCCAGAAGACCAAAACAGCAAATCCTGGCCAACATATAAAGTCTAGAAAATCGTGGATTTATCAACAAGACAACCCAGCACATAGCATTGGCAATTTTTATAATGAATAATGGTATTACTTTTCAGACATCTCTCAAAAAAAAAATTATTCAAATTTTAGTTTGCTTCAAAAAACTATTACTCAGTTAGAATCGTCAAAGTCCTTGGTAGAAAACATAGCCTTAATAAAAGAAAATATATAAGGTTGTTAAAATGTTACAGGTAACATAGAAAAAGATATCTTTTAAAAATTTTAAACAATAATTTAAAAAAATCTATGGTTTTCAGAAATTTACATTCTTGGTAATTTTAGCGAAGATATAGATTTAAAACCAATAATTTTTGTGAATTTAAAATATTCTCTTATTACATCCGTTGATGTTGGAAGACATTTCTCAATTTAAAAATATATCCACAGATAGAACTCATAAGATTTGATTGGTATAGAGATTCGACAAGCGTTAAGAAAAATAAAAAATAACAAAGCCCCAGGAGAGGATGGAATTGTAATAGAAGCTATCGTAAAAGGAGGAGATATGCTATTAAATAACTTAAAGAAACTATCTAGTATATGTTTGCAGCAAACAGAGGTGCCCAAAGAATGGAACAATGCTATAACCATCATTTTAAATAAAAAAGGAGATAGAACGGACCTAGAAAATTATAGACCTATTGCCTGTTAATCCACATATACAAGCTCTTCACTAGGTTAGTGACATCAACATTGGAGACAAATTAGATTTCTACCAATTAAAGAACAATTAAGATTCCGATCAAATTATGATACCAATGATCACTTCCATACAGTAGGGACACTTATTGAAAAATCTATAGAATACAAGAAACTTCTTGTCCTCACTTTCATAGATTTTCATAAAGCGTTCGACACGATCGAAATAAACAGCCTTATAGAAGCAATGAATGTCAACAGGATTAACCACAGGTATAGTAAACTTATTTATATATTTACAAAAATGTCACTATGACTGTTAAGATATACGATAAATCTCGACCAATAAAAATAAAACGTGGGATAAGGCAAGGAGATACATTGTTACCGAAATTATTCATCACGGCATTCGAGTATGCCTTTAAGATGGTCAATTGAGACTACAGAAGAGTAACAATACGCGGCGAAAAGCTTAACCACCTCCATTTGGCAGATGACATTGTTCTTATCACAGATAATTTAGGAGAAGTCACAGATGTGTTAAATGAATTGGACTTAGCATGTTCAAAGGTGGGCCTCAGAATGAACTTGACCAAAACTAACTTTATGACAAATATTACAATGTTATTGACAATATATAAAAAACCAAAGACGAATTACTTTAGCATGGCAGCCTTTGGAAAACTTCAAGACACACTTAGGGCCAACATACCAATTAGCATCAAAAGAAAAATATTTGACCAATACGTATACAAATGACCAATACGCCCCATAGATCATGACCCATGGGGCGTAAGCTATGACTCTAACCAAGTCGACGGCTTCGAAATTGAGAGTGGCACAGAGACAAATGGAATGGTCTATGCTGTGAGTGACGTTGCGAGACCGAATAAGAAACGAAGATCTGCGAAGAAGGACGAGTATTGCTAATGTTGTGAAAAGCATAGCGGAACTGACATGTAGCGAGAATGCGTGACTCACGATGGACGAGTAAAATTACAAATTGGAGGCCAAGAGCAGACAAAAATAGTAGAGAAAGACCACCTACACGTTGGCCTGACGACATCAGGCGTATCAACAAAAATTAACAACAAAGAGCATAAATCTTAAAGAATGGAGAAGTTTAAGAGAGGCCTATGTCCAGCAGTGGACGTGATAAATGAAGGCTGGATGATGATAATAATGATGGTATACTTTTTTACTACTTTCATTACAATTAATTAGTATATTACAAATTAACGTTACCTAACCTAACCTAACCTTAAGTAGTTAAATTTAAAATTTATTTATATTGTTTTCAAATTATTAAAATAATCATTTATTTATATACCATTATTAAATATTTGATTTTATGGACAGTATGCATATTTTCTAAAAGAAATGCATATTTAATGCATATTTTTCGGTAAATTAATGTATTTTTGTACATATTTTTCACTTTTTTGCATATTTGCTTAAGTCTAATTATATCTAGATGTCCACAGTGAGGAACATCTTGAGAATGTCTCATTGTCAACTAATGTTATATAAATTTTTAATATAATGACAGTCTTGTTTGTTATGAACTTATATTAAAATCTAATTTTAGCCATCATCGAATTCGTTAATACAGTGTGGAAACCACTTATGGAATAAAATTGTTTGTGTCCTTATTATAAAAAAAATCAAAATCTCTGGGACACGTTAACTTTTAAATTTAAATGTGCGCTTTTTAAACATAAGTTTAAATGTACAGGGTGATCCACGCAAGTTTGGCATAGTCCATAATCCTTATTTTTAACGAAACATCCTGTATATTTTTATGTTTTTAAAATACTTTTAACAACCTGATTTCAATGAACTATATTATGTAGGGTCTATAATAAATAATACAAAGTGAAATTTTGAAATTAATAATTTATCACGTGTTATGGTATTATTTTAAATTAGCTAAATACAGACAGTAAACAGTACAATGTAAAGTGTCAGTACACTGTATATTGGGGAAAATTTCTGTTTAGTAACCGTGTTAACATTTTTTGTCGTGAATAGGTAAAAACTGTATAGATAGTCTGCTAATTAAACTAAATCGGTAAATAATGCGGATTGTTATCAATCACTTGACATGCTGTTCACATTTTACATTTAAATAATAAATTCTTAATTAAAAACTAATTTCTTGCAGAAATAAAAATGAAATATTTAACTAAGGCCCACCGAATTGAGATTTTAATGATGATCGGTTACGGGGAGAATTGTAGAAGTCAAGTTGAAGTAGTAAACTTATTTAATCAGAGGTATCGTCAGTTGCCTAATATTTCACAAGGTACTGTGTCTAAAATTTATGCACAATTCAGAGAACTTGGATATGTCAAACCATTAAAAAGAAAATCGAACTTCATTGAAGATGAAGTGAAAGTGGATATTTTGTTAATTGTCGCAGAGAATCCAACGTCAAGTTCACGTCAAACTGCACGTCAAAATAATGTGACTCACACAACTGTCCTAAGGTGTCTCCATGAAGAAAACTTCATCCATATAAACTGACATTTGTGCAGGAGCTAACAGAAGACGATCCGGATCGTAGAATGGATTTCTGCAAAAAAATGATGGATAAAATTAACAAATTAAATAGCTCTTGGCACAATTCTTTTTTCTAATGAATCAACGTTTACATTGAACGGAGAGGTAAACTGACAAAACTGTAGATATTGGTCAGCGGAGATCCCTCATTGGATGCGTGAGACACACACTCAGAGACAATCCTCAGATCATATTATTGGTCCTATATTTATAGATGATAATTTGACAACGAAAAAATATTTAAGCATGCTAAGTGACGATGTTCTTCCTTAGTTGGCTAACTTATATCTCAATCCAATAGATCCGACCCTACCGCATGAAACTGTCTTGTTTCAGCAGGACGGTGCAACACTCCATTATGCTTTAATGGTGAGAAATTACTTGAATGAGATCTTCTTCAATAGTGGATTTGATGAAGGGGACTTGTGAGCGGCCAGATAGGTCGCCAGATCTTACGCCTTAGGATTTTTTTGTGGGGTTATCTCAAGAACAAAGTATATGCAACACAATCAACTATCATTGAAGACCTCAAAAAGTAAGAATAACTACAGAAATACAGAATATTTCACCTCAAACTTTAAACAAAGTTCGGAACGAGTTTTATAGGAGACTGTGCTATTGCCAACAACAAGGTGGAGAACATATTGAGCATGTATTTTAATGTAATCCAATCAATTACCTCGGGTATTCTATGAATTCATTGTCTTGAAGAAAATACCTAATTTCAAAATTTCACCTTGATTATTCATAATAGATCCTACATGACTAGTTCGTTGAAATCAGGTTGTTAAGGAGCTTTTAAAAACATGAAAATATACAGGGTGTTTCATTTAAAATACAGATTATGCACTATGCCAGACTTGCATTTATCACCCTGTACATTTAAATTTAAAAGTTAAGGTATCTCAACGTTTTTTATTATTTTCTAAAATAAGGATACAAACAATTTTATTCCATAAGTGGTTTCCACACTATATAATCAAAATATTCCCGGTGTCTCATGGTGGACATTCTTCCCTAATAAAAAAAAATTATTATGATTGTCGAATTTTTTTTTATTTATTTTAATTACGTCAATATAATCAATACAATTATAATATGTTTTAGAATGGGAACATTACTCAACGAATGCTTTAGTCCGTGTATGATGGTTCACATTAGTCTTACAGGACCTTTCTTAGGAGTTTGTGGTTACACTTTCTTAACAGTAATTTTAATATCTTTTTAAATTGGTAGAAAACTTCTGATACAAAAATATTTTAGAGAATTCCTTTGGACTCCAGTGCGCTTTTGGTGGGATGGATAGTGTCAACCTATATAGTTTGTTTAGGAGGGCAGCGCTTAATGGAAGCGGTAAATATATTTTTTTAATTCAGTACGCTACGCTAAAAAGAGTAAAAAAAAATCTGATATTAAATTATATAACGGCAGAATATATAACTAAACGTAAACCAAGAAAAAATTAGTAATAAAATCGACATTGGGAAATTCAACAATCTCAAAAATTGTTTAAATTTTCTCTGCCCACATCACGCTTAATATTGCAGGAATCTCTTTTAATGTGGTTAGAAGATGAAATATTTATATAATGCACATCATTATCATCATATAACGGGGGTCCCACGGCGATTGCCGCTTCCTGCGTTTCAGCCTCCATCTTTTCCTGTCTCTTCAATCTCCCTCGTCTAAGCCTCTAGATTGCATTGTTTTTAATTTCTTTTCTCCAGGAATTTGGTGGTCTTCCCCTTTTCCTTCTTTCTGGCGGAACAAACATTAAGGCTTTCTTTGGCCACTGCTCCTCCTCCATTCTCATCACGTGACCATACCATTATAATTGCCTTCCTTGTATTCTATCTGAAAAAGTATCTCTAATTCCTGTACGGTTTCGTATGTACTCATTCCTGATTCTTTTCATTCTCGATACTCGACATGACCTTCTAAGATAATCCATTTCCACAACATCTACTTTATCTCATTCATTCTTTGTCATCGTCCAACATTCGGCACCATATGTGGTAATCGGTTCTACAATTGCTTGGTATACACGAAGTTTGGTATGCATCTTTATTTTATTAGACCACAGTAATGAATTCAGTATTCGGATGCATTTTTTCCTTGGGCTATTCGGTTTTGTACATATATTTTAATTCTGCCATCTGCTGATATGATGCTTCCTAGATATTTATACTGGTTGCAACCTTTTATGACTGCGTTTTCAAGCCTCAGATCTGTGGTATTTCCTTCAATTTTTAAATATTCTGTTTTGCTTATGTTTACAGTAAGCCCCCATTTGGCATATTCCTCAAATAATTTTCAATTCATATAATTTATATCTTCCTCATCGGTTGCAACCACCACCTGATCATCTGCAAACAACAATGTATACAGAGTTTCTTGTCCCACTTCGATGCCCATAAATCTACATTTATTTCTCCAATTCCTCAATGCTTCTTGGACGTATATTTTAAAGAGTGTGGGTGACAAATAGCATCCTTGCTTTAGTGACTTTAAATTCATTTTACGTTCTGGTTCCAATTTTTACACAACTAACTGCATTTTCGTACAATTTATATATTGCTCGGATATACGTCGCATCCAATTCGGACCTTTCGAGGACCTCAAACATTTTCTTTAACGGGACACTATCATATGCTTTCTCAAGGTCTATAAATACCAAATGGGTCTCTCTACTTCTTTCGACACGCTTTTCAATTATTTGTCGTATGATAAATATATTATCAAGGCAGGATCTCCCGGTACGAAAGCCGCTTTGTTCTTCAATATCTTGTATCTGTCTTTCAACCCTCTTCTTTAATATTCTGCCGTACAACCGGCCCACAGAGCTCGTCACACTAATACCTCTATAATTGGAACAGTCTCTTTTATTCCCTCTCTTATATATGGAGCTTATATAAGATTTATTCCAATCTTTAAGAATTTCCTGGTCTACACACACATTTATTAAAAAGGACTAATATTAATTCTAAAAGTGCAGTCGGCCCATATTTAACCAGCTCTATGGGAATGTCTCCAGGCCCTGCGGTTTTTCCGTTATTAACCTCTTTTAAGGTTTCCATCAATTCAGATAATGTTATTATAGGTATTTTCTGTCTTTCGTGTCTGTTATCTATTAATTCCCTTATCTTGTCCCATATGTACTCTACTATATCCTCTTTCAGCAGTTTCGTATAATATTCTTCCCATTCATTTAAAATTATGAGAGGAATGTTCTCTTCATTTTTCTTATTTTTCCTAAACTGCTTTAATGTTTTCCAAGCTAGTGCCAATTTTGTTCCACCCATAAATCTGTCCAGTTCATCACACTTAGCCTCCCAGTTTACATTGTTCGCCTTATCGACTTCTTTTTTAACTTCTCTATTTCATTTGGAGTATATTTCTCTGTCTTGAGAATCTTTGGATTGAAGCCATATGTGATATGCTTGTTTTTTCTTGAGAACTTTCTCTTCTAGTTCCGTTGACAACCATTCAGGTTTTCCTTTTCTCCGATTTTTAACTTTTCCCAGTGTTTCATTTGCCGCTTCGTGAATATATTTTTTAATTACCTCATACAGACTTTCAGGGTCTAAGTCCTTTGTTTCTATATTTTTTTATTTTTTGAGCTATTCTAATTTTATATAAGAACTTTGTCGAATCTTGTTTAAAGCTTTTCAGGTTATATTTTATGTTTTCTATTGTTGTTCCTATGTCTGCTACTTCATCATTTTTGTGACTTGATTGTTTTCTCTTAAATGTCACCATTACTTTTGCAATAATCATATAGTGGTCACTTCCACATTCTGGCCCTCTAAACACCCTCACATCCTTTGTAAATTGGTGTATATTCTTATGGGGGAAGAAACCATTTAATATTTTCAAAGAATTTGCCTCACAAAAATCTATTAATCTTTGACCATTGTCGTTCAGAATGTCTTCTCCATATCTCCCTACTATTTCACTGTTGGAGCTCTTTCCAGTTCTTGCATTAAGATCACGTAAGATCCAAATTTCTTTCTTATTATTAATTGTGGCTAGAACAGTTGTTAGCTTGTTAAAGTACTCTCCCTTGCTGTCAATCCTTGACTCATCCGTCGGTGCATATGTTCCAATTATCACTATTTCATGGCCATTTTTCTTAATTTCCATGAGGATAATTCTTTCATCTATTTTTTGCCATGATTTAATACATTTTTTCAGTTTCTGATGTATTGCTATAGACACTCCTCTTTTAGCTCGTTCTCTCTTTTCTACGCAACTATAGAAATGCAGGTATTCGCTTATCTTTTCATTTCCTCTTCCTTTTTTCTTTACTTCAGTTAATACACAGATGTCTAGTTTTATTTTACTCAGTTCACGGAAGACCTCCTCCTGTTTTTTCCTTATTCCTTGTATGTTCCATGCACCCAAATTCATATTCCATTTTCTTTGCGAATTTCGTTTATAGTTTAATCCGTCCGAATTCCAACGCTTTTTGCTGAAATTTTTAACCTTTGATCATTTTTTCCGAGTATCGAGGAGTTGGTCCGATGCCTCAACCCCCAACTTGGAGGACCAGGGTTTTAAATCAGAGTATCCTTCTCTTAGATAAGTTGCCTTCTCTACGGCTTAGGAGTCCTATCTACCCTACCTGGTCCGCGGGTGGTATTTTATTTCCCACCTACCCGCCGGCCTAGCTGCAAACAGGCTGGTGAGGGCATTCCCCTATCCGCCACCTGGGGACGCGCCCTCTAGGGTTACTGGTTCCCTCGAGGGATAATGCACATAAAGTGTATAATTAGGGTCGGCTGTAAATTCCTAAATTATAACGATTGTTTGTAATGCATCACAACCAATTTTTCCTGAATGACGAATGGCATGAGGGCCAAGTATTATAATTTGCTGTAAATAATGATATAAGGAAGAATACAGGCTAGAAGCAGTCGTGGAATAAAACGCAAATCCTGGTTAAACAGTTTGAGAGCTTGATTTGTGTCACATCGACAACAATTAAAATGGTTTTAAAAGTGAAGAATGCAACTTTCGTATTTAAATTTTGTCGGAAATAAACTCAGTTGCTATAAAGCTGTTGAGATCAATAAAATGTCAACGTTAAAATGTTAAATCGCTTTCATCGATTAGCGACTAAAAAATTTCCATTGGTAAAGCCCAATCTTTAAAACTCAGCATAAAATAGAGAAAAAAGAAACATTTCGATTTTGAGCTTTGGCAACAAATATGAGGCATTTGAAATATGTCTAAGAAACGCTGAAATAAAACATTCACATTACAAAAGATCTCACGTCACGAGAAATGCTTCTACAAAGACGGCATTAAGAGGAATTTGTAGCTGAGGTTGTGTTGTTTTAAAAAACGTACTTGTGAAATGGAAAGAATGAGTTTTAAATGCTTTAGATCATTTGTAACGTGAAACCTTAAATTCGGCGGTTTTAGGCATATTTCAAATGCCCCATATATGTTGCAAGTCAAAATCGAAATTTCATGTCATAGGTTTTGAAAATTAGTCTACAGTAATGGAAATTTCATATTGCTTAATGAAACTAATCAATGTTATTGATCTTATGAGAATCGTAAAAAATGGCAAAAATCGCGCAACACTCATTTATTAAACAGCTTTATACCTTTATATTTGCGACAAAATGCAACATTTTTTACGAAACTACACTCTACATATGTAAAACACATTTTGGGACACTCTGATCAAAAGATATCGATTTTTTACCGTCGAGTTGATACAAATTTTATTTAAAAAAATTTCACGCGCCTAAATAACATTCAAAATTGTCGGTCGCTTCAAGCGTTGTCACGTTGTCATCAAGACAATGGTTTACTCTACAGAAAGAATACTAATAAACAATTCTGTTTGAAATTAACTCAGCTACATTTCTTGTTTAAAACTTTTTTTACGGGTTACTAATTCTTAGTGCCTAAATGTTTTAAGTGCCCCCTCACTCAGAAGGGCGTTTTAGGGGAAGCTCGGGGGTAGAAGTGTTAAGCTTTTATGCATCTTTTTTGAGTTACCAAAATTGACATTCTCAGCAAAATTTATGATTTTTAAAGGTTCAGATCAAAGAGTATGACAAAAGCTCGGAGCAATGATAATCGACGTGGTTCAACTCGGAACACTGTTGAATTTAATATTAATTCTTGTAATAGTAATAATCTTAGCTCTAGGTTTTATATATATTGAAATGATTTCAATATGTTAAAAAGGATACAACTTAAAGGGATTTTTATATGAGTTTGTTGTTCATGAATTTCATGAAGCCATCACAATGTGGGTTCGACTCTGAAATAAAAGAGAGAAAAAGATTAGTAAATTTTTAAATAAATTAATTTTGACTTACCTGGTATAGTGTTAATAATTTCTGAATAGTATAGTTGCCTAGTGTATAAGTGAATCGTCGAAACCTTAAAAAGAACAAAAAAGAAGAATTTTAAAAAAATATTTAAACATAGAAATTTTAAAAACGTCAGAAATAAACTGTCAAGCAAGTCTGTGGGAGCTAAATTAATAGGGGTTTTGTTAAATAAGAAATTACAATGATGTGGGGATGAAAAGAATAAATTATATTAATAGACTAAGTTTTATATCTGAACATTTTTTTTAATTCCCAAATTGGATGTGATTAAAGTGATTATGAGAAAGTAATGTAGCTTGACAAATATGTCAAACAGGACAGTTTTATGGTTTAATAAAATAGAAGACGAGAAGAAAAAACAACGTTGGTTGCTGTTAGCAACGGAGAAAAATTGGTTTTTTGGGGACGCCGACAAGGATTTTTGGACAAAGGGGAGCCCTGAAACTGTGGAATAGGTCGGGAGTGTTTTTTAACTCGTCTAATTAGAATTTAGTTTTTCCACAGTTTCCACAGCAGAGATATCCAGAATTTGTTCCAAAGAGTAAGAGAAACAATTTCACTTATAAATTATATTGGAGTATAGAAATGTCATTTAAATTGAGAAAATTAAAATTCATGAATTAACATAATTGCGATAGGCCTTAAAAATTGAAAATATTAATGATCATTAAATTAAAAATAGAATAGTACGTACCTTAACTTCCGAAGTGAGGAATGATATTCCAGTTTCACCGATTATTTTTGAGTAGTTAGTTTCCTTTAAAGAAATCAGAACTGTTTTAAAGTGAGGTTGGACAATAATTTTGGGGATCATTTGAAATTTTGATTATATTTGAATGCAAGTTTAAAGTCAGCGGAGTAAAGTGTTCAGTTTCTTTTTCTTTATAGTTCATTTAAACACTTTATAAAGTTGCAATATTTATTTAGTTTTTAGGTACTTGTAGAGAGTCTCCACATTTTGTAATACATTTTTATTGTCACGTCACTAAACCACGTTAAGATTTAAACGATTCCTATTTTTGTAAATTTTTAAAGGCAACCGAAGTTGCAGACGAATTTTATTGTTTATATTAAATTTGTTCAATATTAATAAATAACGTGCTTCATTTGGGTTAATTTATCAAAAGTCTAAAGTAAATTTGGGTTTAATTTCTTTTTGAACTCTACCAGGAGACTACACAGTCGACGTCACACAGTGACAGATTGCTTAGAACACATAATTGAGCTAGCCGAGTATTAAATTAAATATTAAACGAATATTAAATTAAACAAAGAACCACATATTTTAAAAATTACAACATTTATTATAAAAAAAAAATAAAATTTAACAAAATACAACTTTTTCAATATATATATATATATATATATATATATATATATATATATATATATATATATATATATATATATATATATATAATTAGTATAATGGTAAGGTTGATTGGATTAGCAGCTGAATAATGAAAGCCAAAGTGTGCTCTTTTCAACGATTTCGTTATATTTCGTTAAATTTTCTTTAACATCTTCAGACGAATGCTACAATATGTTACAAAATGGTGAAATTGTGTATTTTACATAAGATGTAGTGAAACACTTACTTGTGTGAGGTTATATATATATATATATATATATATATATATATATATATATATATATATATATATATATATTATATATATATATATATATATATATTATTTAATATTATAAACATGTTTTTAAATATTTGTTTATACTGGTTAAAATTTTTAGTTAGCAATATTTTTTGTACTTTGTAGAGTATGTCCGTTGGTACTATAATGGAACGTATTAACTGGTATGACGTAGAAACTAACCTCCAAAAAGATCTAATACTGGTTATGTCCAGAAGTAGAAAACCAATGTATCTAAGAGCTGGACCGTTTGGACCCATAACTTATGCTACTATTGTAATGGTAGGTTACAAATTCTGCAAGAACGTTACACTTTTACGATTTTAACATTTAATTTATCAAAGAATTGTTTATTTATGGCTATCAAAAGCGATGCTTCAGTGGACTTAACCTCTCTGGTCTCTATGAATGATGAGATTATGTCCGATGTGGCATCGCCTTTGAAAATGCCTGCAGAAATTGCAGAACCATATGTTCACTGTGTGGCTAAGTAGTTTTTGAGACTGTAATTTGTACATTATGGAATCTGCTTTATTTTTGTACATAAATACTTATCCTCCATTCATTTAGTATTGATCTGACTAGCATAAGTTGTCTAAACTGTATTAGGGCTTCCTTTTATATTCCAACTCTTTCCCTCTTTTTTAATTGTTAGTATATTCATAAATTCATAACTAAATGATACTTTCATCTGCAACGTTTTTAATAATATAATAGTGCGATAAGACTTCTTTCTTAACTAATCAGTTAGTAGATGGTTGAAGATTCGAATTCAATAAAGAAGCTAAAGAGATCAACATAATGGCAAGAACATTTTTATATTTTTATATTTTCAGATTCACTCGAAATTAGAAATAATGAGCAATGTTATTTTCAGATTCTCAAAACATCATATTCCTATGTTACTTTGTTAAAACAAACTATGTAAGTTAGCTAACTGAAAAACTATTTGACGCCATATAAATAGCAGAAAAATTAAAACTTTTGTTTCACTTTCATACTACTAATCAATTTACAGCTACGCACGAGATAGTTTATAATAAAAGCAAATAAAATGATTTTAAACACTGTATTCGTTATTTAACTTTTGTTTTTTTATTTTCCCATTTTTTGCTTTTATTTGTATAAGGTTATAATATACGATAACACAACTAAACGTACGATATTTTTATATACCACTAGCAAGCCACCTTAGAAAACCACAATAAGGCGGATAATAGACGGACGTAAAATACGCCGCGAGAGATACGCAGCGTATTTGGTTAACATAATAGACGAGCGTTTTATTTCACGCCTGTTGGCGGAAAGAGTACAGTCATAGTCAGTAATAAAATGGATTTAGTTCAAGTCGGATGTGTTGCTGAACTTTGTTTAGTGTTAAAAAAACGAAAAAACAAAAAAAGAATTCGTCGTTGGTGGGTTCATCCTGTTATTAGTAGCAGACTTCAGGCAGAACAATTTCATTTAAAATTTTGTGAACACAGACAGTATCCCAAAATTTTTTTCTCATACTACCGCATGTCTGTAAAAAGTTTTGATGAACTGCTGAAGCTGGTAGAAAGTAAAATAACCAAGACTACAACCGACATGTGAATTCCAATTGACCCAGCAGAACGATTAGTTATTACAATAAGGTAAATAAACAAAGTAAGATAAAATTTTATTAAAGTGTAGCGTGTTATATTTAATGTCTAAATAATAATATAAATTCGATTCTATATAGTACGCCCCTGGTACGCTAGAAATGTGTTGTCTGTAGAGATTTTTAAATACGCAATAATTCTTCAATAAATAAAAACGTATTTGCTAAAGAGAACAATTTATGGCTTTTTAACTTCAACGTTCCCAGAAAAATATTGCAACCTTGGTATTATTTTTTCTAAAGCGCAGTAACGCCGGAAGTTTTGAACGAATTTGAGTAAAGAATTTGTTGATTTGACAAGATGGCAATGGTTTTGTGCGGGGAAAAGAGGGGTTACTATCCGGAGATTGAGATCGAGAGGGTCAGCGAAGTCAGTGATGAATAATTGCTCGCAGCGAAAGGTCGTTTTAATGGTGATGTGGTAAGCCAGCATTCATTCGCCAAAATGGTGGAATTTTCACTCTAAGTAATATGTCGTTTCTGAAAGAGTGACCAGTAACCACTGTTTTTATTTTGGCCGAAGATTTATGATGTTTGAGCAGTGAACAAGTTTAGTTCCTGCTTTGTTTTTCGTTTTTTTGAGAAATCCAGTTCCTTTCCGAGATGCCCTTTTCACCTCATGTAGAATAATATTGGAGCAGTTTTGATTTGGATGTGCCAGTTTCAGCTTCCAATAAAGCTTTCCGTTGATGTGCAGTTGGATACCCCGCAGAAGTTAGCCAGTTGTTCAAAAGTTTAAGTTAACATGTGTGAACTGAGGTAACATTTACGTTATTAATTTTTAAAGTAAAAATAGACATTTTCTTTTAAAAAGACAAAATTTGCTTTCTTTTATAAATTATTTTAAAAAAAAAAATATTTGTAATTATATTATGTTAGGGCCTGGTTTAAACTGTCACGTCATAATTTTATCCTGTTTTAAAAATGTTTGTTTTGACGTATGACAGTTTGATTTTTAATCTATTTTGATTTGTAGTAAAGATTAAATTTTATTCTTTATAAAAGGATATCCATAAAATTTGGCCACATTATCTACTAGGAACCATTTCAGAGAATTTTGTAACCTTTTGTAAACAGATATGTAAGTTCTTTTTATTTGTATTGGACAGCTATTTATATATAATATGCCTTTGTTGCTGTAAGTTGTATTGCTTTATAAGCTGTATTTTTGAAAACTGTTTGAGACAATAATAAATGTTTAATTTGTTTCTCTTATCTATTTTGAGTTTTATTTGAAAAAGATATTTTTTTTTTATATTTTTGATGTTATACAATTATTTCCTTAGTTGCAACTAGTGGTTGTAATAGGTATAATTGGGCACCTCAAGTGGCGCCCTATATTAAATTTCTTGAGGTGTTTCCGTTTATTTTCATTCTGTTTGTCCAATAGATTCGTATAAGTACCTTTTATTTCCTTTTTTGTAGTTGCCCCAATCCGAAACCCTTTATTTCAACTTATCCACGACCCAGCTCTCCAATAACCAACTGAGTGTCGTTCGCACTTGTTTCGATTATTTTGTTTGCCCAATCTTGTCCCCCATATTCTTACCCTGTGGTAAGCAAAATAGTTGTTACAAAAGTAAATTGTTATCCTTAACAAGTCGTTAAGGTAAAATAAGTAAAAGTATTAATATGAATCAATTAAAGTATCTTCCGATGCAGCTGGGGACGAAGGGACTAAATACTGTGAAGGTGAAGTTGATTGAGTTGATCCAGAAGGAGGGACTATAGGAGAGTAAGGCGAGGGTGATTGGAGTTTCTGAGCACTGTAGTGACAGACTGAATGCAGCGCAAAGACGGATTGAAAATACCGGCGGTTGTTGCGAGCATGCAGATGACTGCTGTGTATACACTTGTTGAGAATGTTGCATATAATTTAATTGTTGGCTGGTACTCGGCTGATTGTTTATTTGTGGTTGTTGCTTGCATGAAGAGGACTGCTGTGGATATGGAGACTGTATACTGTATTGAAAAGGCTGCATATAATTTGGTAACTGCATATAATTTCATAATTATGTGTACTGGCGTATATTTGAAGCACTTCCATTATCTTTAGTCTAAAATTAATTGAATTCTGTTGCGGCATACTATTCATAATTGGCATTAATGACATTAAAACTCCCCCCTCATGGGGCGAAAAAATGACGCAGGTGGAGGAATTCCACCTCGCACGTAGACAGATCGCCGCCGAAGATCACTCCATTAACACTCTTAGATCATCCAGGTGGATACGTGCCGAGACACCGACACCACTTTCGGTGGTGCAAGGCCGAAATAGGTATGCTCGTTGAACCTCACTTGGCTCTTGCGGAATGAGAGAAGAGTGGTCCCACGAGAGTCTCATCTCGGATACTAGGAGTGTAGATCGGTGACCGAGATGCCTACGCCTCCCCAGTGCGTTTCTACAGACCCGACACCTCAAGCGACGGATCTTCACCTCTAAATTCCTTCCCATTGGTAGCCTCTTACGACAGGTAGGGTCTTGTGGCCCCAGCCGTATTCTTATCTCGGCGAGCCGAATGGAGACCCAGTTCCTAATAGGGCACGGTTCATCAGGGACTACCTGGAAAGGATAGGGAAGGTTCGACTGCAGTATGTTCGACGAGGATAGAAACAAATTACATAAGAACGTAGGAAGGGTAAGTGCAAATACCATATTACAGGTAACAATGAGGGAAATACAGAATACAAGACAATACTGGAGTCAATTAGTCGAATTTTTAGAAAGAAGAATATAGTAGAGAGGAATATGCAGTAAAGGTAACAGGGAGAGTAAAAGAGTGGAAGAGAGAAAGAAGGATGTGAGAGAGAGATAGAAGACAGGCTATTCATGTGATGCACCTGTCTGGAGAAGACCTACCTGGAAGGTCATCCTTAACGGTCTGGACGATCTGGTACGGTCTTTATAAGATTTACTACCTCCTTCCCATAAAAAACCTAACAATAGATCCATATTTTGAAAAAATTAAACCCGTTTTCCAAGCACCGCTATGACTTGCGTAAAGCAAACCATGCAGTGGTGAATTTAACAATAAATCGTATTACCCATAATATAGAAATACAAAAGGCAAGAGGATCTAAATAATACAAATACATATATAAATATTTTATTACATCACTACATTTTTTCAAAATTTAATAATATTAATATGCACAACTGAAAAAGTACTTTGTTATCCTATCAATAAGTCACTTTGCTGTTCATAAATTTATTTTTTTTGTATGATTAGGCATCATGTGTGTTAAAATAATGAAGTATTTCAAGATAAAGTAATCTAGAAATAAGGATATGGCTGACTTCTTTAATAAGTAACTACTGAGAAAGATAGCGCCACTACGGTAAACAATGCTGTCAAATTGTTTTTTTTTTTTCAACATCCATTTATTTCAAAAGTTATAAATATGATAATAGAATGGTTACAATTAGATTACACTAAAAAATTAAAAAATTAACAGACGTACACCCGATTTATTTATTTATTTATATCGTTACATACTGTTTTACAATAGGTTGTATAATCATAAAATTGTAAATGAAATAAATCTATGGGAAATGTGTTTGTAGATTTTGATTAGAAAGCGATCATTTCTAAGTATGTTCTCTAAAGAAATACGATATTTTCTAAACATTTGAAAATCAATTAAGATGTCTAACCGTTTCAGGGAGCTAATCGAAAATACTTTTCATTTTTATTCTTTTATTTAATTGCCACTATTACAAATACCTACATTTTTGCTTAAACAATATTTTATGTTTAATAGTACTGCAATACTTTTACCGAACATATTTACATTAAAATACAATCATTATGTGTAGTAAAATCATGAGGAATTGGTAACGGGATCCGAATCATAGAGTCAGTAATAAAGCAAAATATAGTTAATTATATTATTTTTTTCTTTATTTATCATTATTCTGTTGATGCCACTTTCCATTAATTTTTCTTTTATAATGATAATTAATATTCTTTTGACATTTACTTTATTAAAACGGCAACGACGTTTTTTTGTTGACAAATGACAAGTACGCAACTCATGTTTATCATTTTCGTGGCCTGTGGATGACAGATGTGGGAAGCCTATTGAAAATGGCTGACCGAGATCGATAAAAGTTGTACCTTGTTTTTAGTAAATGTTAAAGATAATTTCTGCAAAATAATAATTACACGTTGTGTAAATATTTAGTGAAGATAGTTGAAAATTGTTCTAAGTTAAGAATGTGTTTTTCCTTGCATTATTTTTAGTGAAAAAGTGAATATAAACTCTATATTATGTAGTAATTGTTTCATAAAGGTAAGTATTGTTTTTGTCCAAAGTTATTGTTTACTAACTTTCAATTATATATTAAAGAATTGTTCAACGTCAGTACAACGACTAGATAAAGTGGAAAATGTTGCATATGAAGTAATTGCGTTAATTCCTATTTTAATTAAATTGTGTACAATGTAGTGGGGGTGAAATCACTGTGTTGACAATTCTCTTTTCATTCACTTATCACTCATTCTAGCCACTTTCCACCTTAATTAATCTTCTCGTATTTTATAATCAAGGTCTAAATTTTTATTAAACAGCTTTTTTAGGAAATAATGAATAATAATTTGATAACTATCAGCAAATATATAACTTTTTTATGACTTTTTTGATGGGTCATAAACTAGAAAATACTATGAGTGTAAAATTAGCTTATATATTATTTTATTTTCTCTGTGCTTTGTTGAGGCCTGGCAATTTGCACTTAAGTTTTGTTGTAATTGTTAGATATTCAACAGTGGTGTAGATGAAGGAATTACTAAAAGACAGGTGTTATCTATTATATGACTTATACAACATGTTAAATGGATACACTAATAAATTAAGAATGAAGTTATTGCAAATGGGTTAGTAATATTTAAATTGAGGTAAGCTAATATACCAAAAATTTTAAAACAAAAAGAAAAAATGTTGAATGTTACTATTATTTATAATATTTAGTTGTGATTATATAATTTAGTTTGTGGCTATTAAGAATCTTGGTTTTTAACAGAAAGTTAAACAAAACAATTAAATTTCAATTACTACTACTAATGAATGAATGTATTACTTATGAATCTACTACTAATCAATTTAATGTCTTCAGTTTTGCTACTAAGTATAATCTATAATGTGAATTTAAGACATTATGCATCTGGATACTTTATATACCACTATCTGTTTGTATGAGAATTGTTTCCTCTGATAACTTGTGGTTTATACTTTTTATATAAATTACTGTCTTTATAGTTTTCCACATTAAGTATGTTCTAATTGCTATTTTAAAAGAACTAGCTTAACATTATTATATTTGCTCAATGGTATGCTGTTTAGGGTCTAAAACTGGTCAAATTGTTCTTACATTCAAGATTGAAAGTGATTATAAAGATTTTGTAGTACTAGTATGTATTGTAACATTATGGAAGGCCACCATAGTCTAGAGACTATATTCAATGCAAATGGTTTGTGACCTTATTGAAAACTATTTATTTGAAGATAGAAAAATATTCTTATAAGTACTTTAATTAAAATGAAATCTGAAATTTTGATAATCTATTCATCATCCATCATTCTGTATTATCCCTATGTGGACTCTACTTCTTTAAGTACATTTCTTCAAACTTTCTCTATTGGGTGATATCTATATTATCTCCTACACAAATGTCTCTAAGCTTCTAGTACCTGTTCGTCTTTGGTCCTCATTTCTTACTTATTGCAGAAACTGGAAGTATATCAATTCTTTGTATGGAGTGATTATCATTTCAAGATTTATCATACTCTAACCATCTTAAACTATGATCTCTGTCATTTTGGCATCAATTGGTGCCACTTCTAGACTTCCCCTAATGTACTCATTCTTAAATTACCTACATCATACTTCATTAATACATCATATCATAGCTGATATTATGACAGTTTTATAGATTTTGTCTTTTATTTTTGTTGGAATTTTCTGTCACAATTTATCACTTACCTCCTTCTATTTTATCCATCTGGAGTTTAAGTGGACTGCTTGCATCTTGATATGTTCTCCATTATTCTTTAAGACATCCTAGATATTTAACTATTACTTTTATTACTATCATTTCACCATGCAAATATATCATTTTATTTCTCTTTCCAACACTCCATCTTTAACATGTTAAGGGCTGATTGTTTGAACACTAATCAAAACTTGATTGTAATCAAATATTTAATTATAATCAAATATGTCACAACAGGTGTCAAAATAATTAAAATTGCTTAAGGCTGTTTTCGCAGCTAAAGCATATTGCGATTTGAAGTGGGCGTATCACTTACTTTTCTAAACTGCTTACGTCAGACCCTACGTGACTTCCTAATATGAGATCTATAGTGAAGCGACAATGATGAGGAACACGTTTCACTATTAGATTTCAGTATTTTTTAGCAATTTTCTTCAAAGTTTGAATACGCTTTTCTCGATTATTACTGGACACAGAAAGGTGAAAAAAAAAATCAACGATTACAGAAAAAAAAACTCTTTCAACTGATGGGCGTAAAAAGTTTGGTTATAATAGAACGTTAAACAGTATAATCCAATTTTTCAACAGAAAATTCAAAAAAATAAAAAAAGGAAAACCATCAGTTTAAAGGCAACATAATTTCGTATAACATGTTCAAATTTCGAGACATTTCGTCGGTAAATAACAGAGAAAAAATTTTGGTGCACCGATAAAACAGCCTTAATATTATTTATTTGTAAATAAAAACATGAAATTAACATCAGAAAGAGTTTAATTATGGTTTATTTTAAATTAAAACACAAAATAATAAAATTGAATAAAATAAATCAGTCAACATAACCTCAAAATGTGACATATTTGATTTGAATTAAATATTTGATTTCAATCAAGTACTGATTAGTATTTGAACAATCTGCCCTAAGTGCCATATGAGACCAACACGATCTCACACTTTTATGGGTTCGTAGGGCTACATGAAGCCACTCTGGTCTTACTATTTATGGCAAACAAAAAGTATAACAGCCTATGGGACTTTTATATTTATGTATATAGTGGCACTCAACATGTTAAATGAAAATTTGATATGCTCTATTTTTGACTTACTAAGTTTTAAACATTTTTCTTTAAGCACTTGTCTACACTGTTCCAATTTGTGATCTTATTTATTTTCAGTGTTTCCTATGAATACATCAGAATACACTAAACACTATGGAATGTAATTTTGAAATTGCTGTTTTGTGATAGAATACTAACGAGAATAAAAGAATAAAAAGGAATATTTGGAGAGCCCTAATGCAATTCTATTTTCACATGAAATGTATCAGTATCTCACACAATCTCCATATTCCCACATGCCCACCAGTAGCTGTTATCAAGATCAGTAAATATTATATGAATGTTTGTTTCTATATACCCATATTTTTCCATGAGCTACCTTAGAATGAAAATTGCATCTGTTGTTGATTTTCATAGCATACATAAATCCAAACTGATTCTCCAATATTTGGATTATTTACATATACAGATATTATTTACTCTCTTCCATATTTTCACCATGACTTAAGTAATTTTATGGTCCTGTTGTGTGTCCATTGTTGAAAATGCATGCCCTGCTATACCGAGGGCTCTTGTATCAAGGTATCGTCGAACCTCATAGCAACAGGTAAGTTCAACCTTAATGTCCTGAGGATTTGTCATAAGGACTCTGATTGGGGTCATTGAGATCTATTGAGGTTTTCTGTACCATCTTCTTTTTCTTTTGTCTCTGTGTTATTTATTTTATTCCTACAAGTTGAAACAAAGTCCTACTGGGCACCAATACTGAGCCATTGCTATAAACTTTAGTTCACCAGTTCTCTGAGGTTTTGCTTAGATAAATCTTTCTGAATGCATGTGTTTTTCTGTATTTTATGTTTGTATGTGTGTGTTTAATCTACAAATCTAAAGTTAATGATAGCTGCAAACCTTGTCTTGTTCTCAGTTGATCCATGGATGATTGTTTGGTTATAACTTATTCACACTTATCTTGTTGTCCAAAATATATATGGGACATTCACAATGAGCCATTGGAACAAACCACATTAGGGATAAACACTTTCTAACTTTCTTATTAACTCTTTAAGAACAGGTAGCATCAATAAGCATTTTAACATTTACACTCAATCAGCAATAAGTAATAAACCTATCAAATTTTTGCAGTTGGATAAATCTCAATGTAACTTGTTGCATTCAAGTAGGGTCAGGTTGTATAAGTGTCAGGTTTTTTAGAACAGTCATTTTTGTGAAGCATGGTATTCACAAGGCCAGTCAAATGTTCTAGTGTAAAACCCTAAACAGGTTTTGAATAATGGCATTTATCAGTTCTCTATTAATACTTAGTGAGATTACCCTAGCCAATGGCATGGGTATAGGTTAATTAAGGCACCTTGGATCATCTTGGCTAAACTACAGTACTTAACACTAACATAAGAGTTCCTGACTCTACAGGTGAGGGTTTTGAGTTAATTAATGTGGTCTATGAAGAACACTAAATAATTTTGTGTTATTAACTGTGTAGAAAGAAAAAAAAAATGGAGTTGATCAACTGCTTAATATTCCCAATATTGACATATGGATGTGAATCTTGGACCCTACAATAAGCGGAAAGAAAAAAAGATATATGCCACTGAAATGTTTATTTATTTATTTATTTCAACAGTAGAACCATTTAAAATACAATACAACAAAGAGTGAAAAGTAAAGATCATGTACAATAAATGTCCAAACAATAACAAAGAACAATTAAACAGTAAAAATTTGTATATTAAAACAGTGTATAAAATCATCAAAGTTAAAAAACATCACGTATTTAGATTAATAATTAGACATTTAGGTTGTATTTTGAAAACATTAATGTTTGGACAGAAAATAACGAGCATAATCAGTCCTATGAAAAAGTATATAAAATAGTGCAGTGTATCGAGTTCTATGTTCTAAGTCCAACTCCAACAATTAATGTGTTTTGGGCATATTATGAGATCAGAAACAGAAACCATGGAAAGACTTATTATACAAGAAAAAGTAGAAGATCGAAGATCACAAGGAAGATCCCTAACAAGACAGATATATCACATTACAGGAATATGCAAAAGACCTATGCATGAGTTAAAAGAAATGACCAGAGACAAAGATCTTTGGGGATGGACAATATAAGACATGATGATGAATTACCACTACACTCTCTCTGGGGGGCCAGGATTGAAGAAAGGGAGAGGATGAGTAGGCTGATTGTTGAGATGATATCGATTGAAGTGACCCTGA